GGGGGAGGCTTCTGGGGCTCCCCGGCCTTCCAGGAGTGCGCTGTGGCCGCACCTGAAGGATGGAGTTGGGGGTGCTCTCGATGGTGGCGGGATGGGTGTGATCGCATGAAGCTCTTTCTTCATCTGGCATAGCAAGGCTAAACCTGAGTATCAGAGGCATTGGTCTTTTTATTCAGAGCTACCATAGATATTACTTGCAGCATGCTTACAAAGACAGTTCTGCACATCTCACCGGTCGTCCAGTCTGGGGTGAGATATGGAGGCACAGAATGTCAGTGTTGTTCAGGTGTCTTAAAGCTCGGTATTTTGTTAGAAAATGGCTGAGGGTTGGGTTTGTTTTTTTTTTTTTTTTCTGTTCCCAAGTAGAAGTGGTCTAAGGGGAAAGTGAGAGACAAATTGAACAACCTCGTCCTCTTTGACAAAGCTACCTATGACAAACTGTGCAAAGAAGTTCCCAACTACAAGCTCATCACACCTGCAGTTGTTTCTGAGAGACTGAAGATTCGAGGCTCCCTGGCTAGGGCTGCCCTCCAGGAGCTGCTCAGCAAAGGTAAGTGCTCAAAATGGTGGAAAAAACAGAAAGCTGCTTGAATGGGAGGTTTTCTTCTTGCTCAGCAAGCGTTGTCAGGACTGATGGTCACGTAACTGCTGCCAGGCTGGACAGGGGCAGTGCTGGGCGACCCAGTGCTCTGTCGCATTGCCCAGTTTGCCACTGCAGCCCCCAGCATCTGCCCGCGCTCTCCTCATCTCCTTTCGTCGTAGGTTTGATCAAGCTGGTGTCCAAGCACCGAGCCCAAGTGATCTACACGAGAAACACGAAGGGCGGAGACGCGCCCGCTGCGGGGGAGGATGCATAGGTAGGTGAGGTGGCAGCAGGGTCGGGTCGAGCCTGGTTGAGGCTGATGATGGGGACTAATGAAGAAATCCCTGTGTGCCACAGGGCGGGCAGCTCCACAGAGCTTCGGGTGGGCCCTTTCTCGGTCCGTGCCAGGCCGGAAACGCTGGTTCTGGGTTCACGGTGGCGCAGTCTCTCTGGCACAAGCGGCGTTTGTGACCCTGCCCGTGCTGCCCGTTCAGTGCCCGCCCGTGGGGGAACGTGGGACCCATCCCCGCTGCTGCGCGTGCGTCCGTCTGGGTGTCTCACCGGGCACTTCTTGCCTTGCAGCTCCTCCGGCGACCTCGTCAGCAATGCGTCACACATAGAGGCACACAATAAAACTATTGAACTAATTTTTCTTGCTTTTCCAACAATGTGTACGTTTCATTTCAACACGTTAAGGATACTGGATTCTGGTCCCAGCTCTCCGCCAGCCAGTTCTTGCATTTATACTGTTATGAGTGTACCGCAAACAGGATTTTTATTGCAAAAACAGAAGGAACTTTTGCACTCCTACAGCAACCAGTGATGTTAAACCACATCCAGTCTCAGTAGGAGGAAAATTGAGACCTTTTTTTTTCATTATTCAAACTCCCTCCCCAGGTCCCCACATGCAAGGCAACAGCAGCTATGAGATCAGCATCTAGCAGGGATGTGTAGGTAAGCAGCTTTACATACAGCTGCAAGTATCTTACTTAAATTAAAATAACTGTACATATCAGAGGTCTCTGAGGACTCATTAGTTGTCCATCAGGTGAGGCAGAGCAAAAGTAATATAAATTAGGAGGAAAAGATGAGGCACAGGGCATCAGTTGCCCCTACAGCAGGCCCTGCATCTGAAATGAGTTTCAGTTGCTCTACTAACATAGGTAATTTAGAAAAAAAAAAAAAAGTTTATTTCTCAAAACGCATTTCTTTGATGGAGTGTCATGCTACACATCACCATAGGACAGGGGCAGCACAGGCAGGAGCTGTTTCTTGCTGCCAGGATCTGCCTTTGTGTAGCCTGACGCTTGAGAGCGTGACGTGCAGAGCGACAGCGTGTTGTTGCAGGGGACTGACACGCCTCCGTGTACGTGTTGAACTGCAGCCCTGAACTTGGCAGCAGCACTGGCAGCTGCAGCTACCTGCAGTCCACCTTTCCACAACGGTCAGCTTGCTTTCTTCTGTGCTTCTGATCACCTTTTCTTCTTCTTTTCACCTGATTCAGTCCTAAATTGATGCCTGAAAGAGAACAAGTGCAAATGTCAGAATGCAGGAGCCTTTAGAACGAGGTAACTGACACTGCCTCACCTAATGAGTAAGGCAGTGCTACGTGGAGTGTTTCTCAAAGCTCGCTCGGTGATTTTTCTGTTGCTTCAGTGAGCTATAGCAGCCTCACCAGCTATCTGACACAGGTTTCTAGTGCATTAAAAGGCAGCAGGGGACAGGACAGAGAGGCAGACGCCTCTGCGCAGGCTCTACAGCTGGAGCCGTGTTTGGCTCGCTGCCCACACAGGTGCTGCGGTGCTCTGCACGGCCTGACTCCCGTGTGGCACGACATCTCCTTGCACTTGCTGCCCCCACAAAGCCTGCTCTGTCAGCAGCTGGTGCAGAAGGAAGCCGCAAACCCTCCCCTCGGCACTGCTCTGGACCACCCTGAGCTCACCTGGACTGCCACCTCCTGCCATGGTTCCAGACCCGCCCGAAGGAAGGGAGCCAGCTGTCGCCCGTCTGAGAGGTATGGTCAAAGTTGGCACCCACACGCTCTGCCGGGAGCTTCCTCAGCTTCTGCTTCTCTTCTAAAAGAATAGTTTGCTTGGCAGAAGTTATTCAGTCAAATTTCTTTTGATTCTTTAGCATGGTAAAGCGATTGCCAGGTTAACTGAAATGTGTACAACCCGCTTACTTTGCCTGAGAAATTCCTCGTACGAAGGTCCAATTTCTGGTTTGCTTCCATCCTCTTCCTCTGTTAGCCATGGAGGTTTTGCTCCTAGAGTCACAGGGAAAACATTCTTTAGCCACTGCAATTTTCCTGAGCTCAAGACAGGGAAAAGCCTCCCCACTGTCCCGTCCCTGCTGCTTGCCCTGCCAAGCCAGCGGCAAAGACAAAGTGAACCTAAAAGCTTCTTAAGGGACCGCCGCTGGCTCTCCTTGGCGGTGGCAGACCACAGCCCAGAACAGGCGCTCCGCACAGCGCCAGCAGAGCGTCGCGACGCCCAAGCGTTCCCTTCCCCTCGAGCACACCAAGTACTGGCTGAGAGCGAGCGGCTGCTGCGGGACTGCTGCCGGTCACACCAACCAGACAACACTCCTCAGCCGGGCAGCAATGTACGGAGGCACGGAGCAGGCGGGATTACCTGTGTGAACATTTCCTTTCCCTCCCGGTTCCTGTCAACAGAAATGTAAAACACGCTGAGAAACAGATGCTTTGAAGAGCAGCGCTCAGCAGAACAGTATTGTGTGAGTTCCCCTCCAGAACCAAGTCCTGTTACAAAAAGACGCAGAGGGAGGCTCCTCCCTGCTGTCTTTAAGGAGCATGTTTTTTTCAGGGTGTGTTAAAGAATGTCTGTTTAATGAAACGCAAGTTAATGCTGAGTGACTGGAACTCCTAGATAGCTGGTCACCTTTATCTGCAAAGCTGCCTCGGTCAGCGACAGGGATTGCAGCCCCTACACAAGCTATGTGTAACTCGCAGTTAAAAATTTCAGTTGCGCTTGTTAGCAAGTCACCCACCCCTACCTGGTGGCCAATGAAGGTCAAAGCCTGACCAGACTCCATCCAGTTTAGGTCAGGTCCTGTCTGCATCCCACTGGGGCCAGGCTGCTCTGCATCGTGAGGGGAGTCCCTGGAACACAGGCCAAGAGGCAGTCAGAGACGTGAGTGACGGCTGAAGCTGGGCAAGGCACAATGGTCCAGAGGTTTCTGGAGCAGCATTTGTGTTTGGAGAGTTGTGCAGTGAGGAGGAGAAACGTTCTCAGGGCTTGACTGTCACATTAAATGTGCGTCTGTCACCACTGGACATTGCAGTGGCTGTTGGTGCTTAGGCATAGGTGTGTGGACAGGATGGTAATCCTTCTGCAGTTCTGGTGCTTGCTATAGTCTAGGTAAGTTTGTGAAAGATCTGAGTGAGTGTGAGATCCTGCTGCGGACAGAATAAACTGGCAGCAGCAGCAGC